AAGCAACCCAGAAATTACCCTGGGTGTGGTGTTGAGCCCAGAAATTCTCCACCTCTCCACCTGCATAGCCAGGCAGTGCCAGTGGGGCTCAGGGATGCATGATAGAGGATGAAGAATGGCATTGGGAAGGCTCTGAAAGGAGAATTTTGATCTCTAGTCCATCATTCTCCTAGCATAAGAGCAAAGTATACCTGAGCAAAGGTAGCAATTTCTGGAACCAGACAGAAAGGGGTTTGCTCTTACACCCTATTCGCCTGTCAGCCTGAGCTGTGCAGGGTCAATGAGAGAAAGAGTTGAAAGAAACTTGCTCAGAGATGTTTCTGTGGCTGCCCCATCCCAGGAAAAGTCCAACGCCAGGTTAGATAGGGCTCTGAGCAACCTAGTGGAAAGTGTCCCCCATGGCAGGGGGTTGGAACTGGATGGGCTTTAAGGCTTCCAACCAAAGCCATCCCATGATTCTGTGAAACTCATGGAATACCAGGGTATGGAATTCTAGCAATCAGGAGGTTTTGTGCAAATTCTTCACTGACAGATGGGATTTCTTTTCCCCCTCAGTCTTGTTTGTGACTCTCTGCTGAGGTGCTCACACAGGTATCTTGGCTCCACACTGTTGCAGTGAGTTGTCCTGTTTAAGCCAATCCAAATAACTGGTTATCCTCCAGAGAGGTTTGTAACCTCCAAGCAGATGAGGGATGATAGCTGTGCTCCATTTATAAAACAGTCCTTAGCCAATACACAAACTGCACTAAGGCTGCTGTTGCCCCTTCCGTCCCCAAAGGCTGCTCCGCTCATTCCTCACCCTCTGACACTTCTCCTTCCCTGAGCGTTAGAATCCCAGTTCAGATGTCCTGGAGGATGGCCTGTGGCAGAGAAAGGAGCACTCTGCTGTGCTTCCTGAGCAAGAAGAGAAGCAGTCACACCTCATTAGCTACTGAAGCACACATCTGTGCCCAGCTTCCACACTGGCATCCATCTCATCAATGGGCAGGAATGAGGCAGACCCCAGAGTGAGCAGAGGAAAATTAATTTGTGCCTTCTATCCCATCTTCTTCCCAAAAGCTGCTTTGAGCTTTGCTCTTTAATGACAGAAACTACTGGCCCTTGACTCAGCCAGGATTCAGCATGGTTTAATAAGGTCACAGAATGGTTTGGATTGGAATGGACCTTAAAGACCACCTCATTCCAACCTCCTGGCCTGAGCAGGGACACCTTCCACCAGACCAGGTTGCTCAAGATACTTATTCCTTCCTTCTCCTGGTTGGCAGAGAGAGGATAAGGGAACACTCTCCCTAGATGACCCCTCAGCAGCAGCACTGATCCTGGCACTGCTAAAGAGACCGATTTTGGCCAGTCATGTGCAAAAAAGCTCCCACCCAGCCACATTCCCCCCAACACATTAACTTAGCCTCACTCCGAACACCAGGTTCAACTCTGGCCTGAAAGGCACTTTTATACCCAGAAGCACATGAGCACAGAGCTCCTCTGCCCTGGCTTTGTGTGTGAGGCAGGTTCAGGGCCTGGGTGAAAGATTTGACTACACCTGAAGTTGAAGCAGGATGCTCACTGCAGCACTGGACCTGCTAATCTCTGCCACTAGGAAAATCTGCCTGACCCTGTCTAGAATCTATTCAATATTTTCTTCCTTTGCCTTCTGCAAATTGCATAAGTGGGGAGCCCCTTGGAAGCAGAAAAGAGGGGCTGTGGTGGCAGCTGCTGCTCCCTAGGAAGGAAAGAAAAGGGAGCAGTGAGTGGAAAGGGACTGTCACAACCAAAGTGGCTTTGCTGCAAGTAAAGGCTCTCCAGCTGGGACTGCGTGGGAGGGAGCAGAGATTCTGCCAGCAAGCAGAAAGGTGGAGGATTTGTCTTGATGTGATTATGTTGTTTTTTTTTTTTAAGCACGAGCTAGTTTTATTTCTCCTGTGGCCCCTTCCTCCTGCAGAGCTCTTGAAGGTAAGAGTTCACAGCTCTTGAGACAGACTGGGCAGACAGGGCTTGCATCAACAACCGAGAATTTTAAACCAAGAGCAAAGAATCCAACCAAAAGTATCCCCTCTCTATCATCAACAAAACATTTTTGGTTATTATCAGATTTCTCATCTTACGACAGCTCTTGTGTCCTATCCACAGAGACAAGTGTGTGTGGGTCCATGCATGAGAGACAGCAAAATGACAGCTGAGATCCTTTGAAAGTTGTCAAAATCCAACATAATTTCAAAACGATGTTTTGGGGTGAAAGAATAATAAAAATACCCCTAACAAGTTGAACTCTTCGTGCTTCTTTCCCACCGTCAGTTTGTCAGCACTCTGAACAGGGTGAGAACAGCTCTCTCAGAGCACATAATTAATATTTTCTGCCTGCATCTGCTGTACCCAGGCAAAAACTGCTTCCAGCCCTGCTCCAGCCTCACATCTCCCAGTGCAGTTAATGTGCTGAGAGGCATTGTTTTGCCCTAGTAATCTTGTTTACACATTTCCTCTGCATTTTATTTTCTGTAATCTCATTTGCCAGCCTGAAAAGTAAAAACAAACAGAATGAGCTACTAAGAACAAAAAAGAAAAGGAAGCAGGCTTTCAGGAATGCCCCTGCTCATCTCACATAGGCAGGAATGTGCTTTTCCACTGCTGCCATGTGAGGAATGGCACCTCTGTCTCAGTGTTCCTGGGTCCTGCCTGAATTCCCGAGTGGGCAGCACAAAGTGCAGGGATTTGCGGGCAGTTAATTCAGATAATTGTATTTTCCTGCTGCCTGTGGAACGGAAACACTGGAGCTCCGGGGGCAGAGGATTCCACGTGCGCTCGCCTGCCGTATGTAGTGCACCAAATGCCTGCAGCTGCCCTCCCCTGATCCCATCTGTTGGAGATTGATGTTGATTTTGCTCATCTTGCCTCCTGAAAAGCCAGCAATAATAATGAATGAACTCAGCATTCAGCAGAGTGTTGGCAGCCAAATCAGGCTGATGGCAGGCACATTCTCTGCAAGGTTCTTTTGCTGCAAACATGCTCACAAGGGGATGGGACTGGATCCTGGGATTAAGAATCCGGTCCTAGACAGATTTTTGCACCACCTTCACCTCGGTGGATTTCAGTCCATCACTCTTCTTATCATTAGGTGGCTTCTGTTGTGTTTACCTTGGATCTTTTTTCCTGTAACTACAGGCACAAAGTTCAAGCACAGAGCTAGGTGCTGGTTAAGAACAGTCAACTTCTAAGCAAAATCCCCTTTTCAGGTTGAAGATATTTTCATCTAAATTTAATCTTTTATTGCAAATTAAAAGCTGATAAATAGAATAAAAATTATTTGATTAGCCTAGTCTGAAACTCAAGCTTATTAAACCATTGACTTGCTTCCTATGCTCTAATAATAACAAGGAGAAGCTGAAAAGAAATTAATGAACGTGCTTTTGGCAAAACAGCAGCAGTTGCTCACCTAAAGAAGATGCCTTATTAATAGAAACCTTAATTAGAAGCCAGCCCCAGCTGTTTGTTTACAGGAACAAATCTTGTTTCTGATTGGAGATGTCTAGATGTGTATACTATGCCTCCAGGATGTAAGAGGAATCAGGAGCTATCATTCTGGTGGACATGAGAAAATAGAGCTCCACTCAGTTCAGTGATGGAGGTGTAGGTAGGTCAGAGAAGCCACCTGTCCCCATCACCACTGTCACCACTCACAATCCTCAGGCTTCTCCCAGGAGGTCCTATTGCCCATTCCTTGTGTTAAATAGCCCACAGCTTGAGTTGGTTCAGCCTTTGTTCTATTTAAATTGGACATTTTGCAATTTGTATGATTTAAAATCCTGAACAGAGGCTTGGCATACAGCATTAAACAGACAAGGACCAGAAATGTCCTTCTCTCTTTGCTTTGTAAACAGTTGTATTTGATGGAGTCTTACTTGCAGCAAGGACATGTTCCCAACACACTGAAAATGACAGAAAATTTCCCACTGACTTCACTAAACCTTTGAGACCCAAAGGAATATTGCAGTAATAAAAAGCCAGCATTGTACAATGGCCTCAAGTTTCTACTGGCACTGAATGTCTTTTCCAAAGAAAAAGCCAAAAAAAGCTGAATCTCCCCAAAGCAGGAGAGGCACTGAATGGTTTCATGCCCTTGCTCTGAGGGACTTTAATGTCCATGAATGCTCAGAGCACTCAGAATTTTGATAAGTTGACTCTAAGATCAAAGCCTGTTTCCAGACTCAGAAATCTCCTCATTAAAGCCTCAGTCCTGCATCCATTTGTGCATCTGTTCATGTCAGTCAAGACTATGCCTCAGCACAGAACTGAGCACCTCACTGGATCTATCCAGCAAAAGAAAATCAGGGGAGTTGCAAGGAATGGGAAGATCCACATGACAAGGATGAAGTTCTCTAGTTAAAGGCCTAAGGCTTCCATCAACCCACAGATCTCCCAGGTCATGGTACTCTTTTCCTGAGTAGAGAGGGTTACAAAAAAACCCAAACAAATTCCTTTAAAAAGTTTGTGATTCACAGAAACAAGTTGCATTTAAATGCAGGTAAACTCTGAGGCATTCAGTGAGCAAAACCAGAAGATCTCCACTAATGTCAAGGAAATGAGGCTGGTTCATGCCAGCTGGGAATCTGCCTAAAGGACTCTCACAAGGCAGGGCCAGGTCCTACAGCATCCAGTTCCAAGAGCTGCACAGGGAAGTACTGGTGAAATGGGTGACACTCCACTGATTCATGTAATATCAGTTCTAAATTTAGCCATGGATGAGAACTGAAATAAAGAAGATAAACCTTTATGGAGCAGGAAAATCTACCTTTCAAGTCCAAAAAGACTTATGAAGAATTATTCCTGAGCTGAGCTTACCACTTGCTGGTAATTTTTCACCGTCTCAAATCCCACATCAGAAGATTTTCAGGCTGTGACAGACACATATAGACATAGAAATAGATATAAATATAGATTAGCACATTTAAAATTATCAGTCATTATTATTCAGAAACTGTTATCACTGTCACGCACACGGGGCATGGTTCTGAAGAATGGGGACATTATTTTATTGAGTTAGAGAGATGGGAAACAGGCATAAAGAATACAGGTAATGAACATATTTGAAATAGCAATATAAACATAAACAGAAAAATGTTCAAGTCAAAGTCACATGAAAAATTAGACTAATCTTCAGATGCATTCTAGACTTGTATGTACAGCATTTTTATGGTAAAAGTAGAAATACAAACTCCAGAGATGCAGCACATCTCAAGAATACAAAATAAATAAAGATGAGCGCCAATAAAAGAAAGAGAACAAACACTTGAATCTTCTTCTAGAATTATGAGAAAGTTTGATATGTAAGAAGCAGGGGATAAGATGCCCAATCTATGACAAGAACTCAATTTATTTCCAAACAAAAGCTCAAATGATAAAGTCTTGTGCCTAGGAGTGAGTCCTAAAGCATTTAAACTTTTCTCACTCCTGTTGTGAAGCTGAAGTATTCTTCTATGAGAGAAACCTTGGAGCAGACCAGTGTTTCAGCAATCCCAGTGAAGGAATCCAATTCTGGGGATGATGGGGACATCACAGTTATTTATCCAGAAGGAAGTTTTTCAGCAGCTTCTAACCCAAGATGACTTGAGAACAAGGAATAGGCTGGTTTGGTTTCAGACTCTGCAGCAGTGTCTTCCTAATGGTCAGTGTCTGCAGAAGGAAGGCAATCAGGACAGTGTCATGCAAAAAGCTGCATTGATTAAGGAGGAAAAACCATTAGGCTCTACACTGGACACAAAATTATGGCTTAGAACAAAGTGGAAGGTGTCCTTTCCCATGGTGGGGGGTTGGAACTAGAGGATCTTTAAGGTCCTTTCCCACCCAGGCCATTCCATGATTCTCTGATTCTCTGAAAGATTCACCATTATTTCACTTCCCTTTCAAGAGTGTTACAATTAATTGAGTGACACTGAGCACCATCAACAGTTTTCCTGCTGGAAGTTTCTCCCTCATCAATTTGTTTGCATAACCAAATATCCTAGAGACAAAAAAAACCAGCCCTGTTTCCACTCCCACAATCCTTGCAAATTAGATTTTTATGGTAGATTTTTCCTCTCCAGAAAAATAGGTCAGTTCCCCTGCAGTAATGCACACAGTCTGAGGCCCATGTTTCTGCTTGGAATGAGCACACATGGAATGCAAGTGCCCCTTGAAGCTGGGCATCTGCACATGCCACCCTCTCCTTTAACTGGTCAAGTAACTATTTGCAGATTTCCCCTGCCTTCAGAGCTGAAGCAAGGCCTAAATACTTAAGCCTTTTTCTACTTCCAATCTCCCTCTCTGAAAATATGGACCATAAATATCCTCTCCCAGGAGATTAGTCCTGGAACCTTATTGGGCTTAAAGTTACATTTGAACAATGTCCTAATAAAAACAAATAGTAAATAAAGTGTGTTCCAAGGACATCAAATCATGATTACAATGACTTCCATTTTTGTAGAACTTCCAAAATAAATCTTTCTTTCTTTATGCCTTGGAAAATAAAAAAGACTTGGTATGCGGGAATAAGTTAAATAGATGGAAATATAAAAGTAAAAAATAACAGGAGATTGCTTAAGAAGAATATTTAAAACCAGAAAAGTTATTCCCAAGCAGCTTCCCAGGCAGCTTCTGTAAGACAAAATAGAAAAGAAAGAAGTAGAAACAAAGGGATTTTTCAGCTCAGTGGGATGAAAGAAGTTGGTTTCAATGGGGTCTGAAAGGGAGCAAGGACGACTGTGGCCATAACTGCACACCTGAACCACATGATTTTACACATACACACATCCCCCTTAAATCCATCATAATTGAACAGTGACTTCTTTCAGTGTGTGTGCAAACACTTCACTTCATAAAGCAGCCCTGAAAGGGCAAAGAGGAGAGAGAGCCCTACAAATATTGCTCATTCACCCTGTGGGTCCTGCAGCATGGGGACCACACAGCCACATCCCTGCCTGTCTCAGAAGGCTGTTCCCCAGTTTTGGTAAAGTTTTACAGTCTTGAAAGTGAACTTAAGCCCAAAGGTGACGTACATGAAAAAAAAGAAACAACAACAAAAAAAAAAAGCAGCAAAACTAAATCCTTTGGAAAGGTTTTGAAGTGAATCTGTGTGAAATGAAATAAACAGTTCTCCCCACTCTGAAATACCAAAGGCAATTTCTGTCAGAAGAGCTCCCCACATGTTAATCTGCAGTGAAGCCTCAGTGCCAGAGTTGGCACCCTTTGAAGTTAAAGGAAAAGCTCCTCCTGTCTTTATGGTGCCCAGATTCCTTGCTGGATTGAAAAATATCAGAGGTTTCCTAGGCTCCCAAGAGCTCTCTGAAGATCACTGTCCAGTGATTAGAGGAAATGTCAAGGGGACTGGGTTAGAAATCTCACAGTGGCTGAGCTGGAAATGCTCCCTAGAAGGGATCCTGATCTGGTTGTGAATGATCTCGGAACTAGGCTTATCAAATCTGATGGCAGATTTGAGTAGAAAAAGAGAGATTCACATCTCAAAATAAAATATTTGGTGCTTTCTTTTTTTTAATTTTATTTTATCAATTCTACTTTTCTTCCTTTTTTCCCCCTACTGATTTATGTTAGCTAGAATCAAACTTGAGTATTATGTGGGTTTTTCATGGTATTTTCATACTCTTCTCCTTTCTTTTCTCCTTTTGAAGGAAGAAGGAGAGGAAAAAAAAAGGTTGGAAAATGAAATGGACTTCAGTAATTTAAATTTTGAATAAATATTCTTTTTCAGGTGATGTCAAACTAACTGAAATTGACATTTAATTAACTGAAATTTACATTTCCATGTAAACATGAAAAATATGAATGTAGCGTTTTGACGCTCTTTGATTACGTATTTTCTACAGCAGGAAAGGAATGTCGTGATTAAGAATTTTCAGCCAACTTGAGGCAGGAGTATTAGGAGTCCCTGCAATCTGGCATCCTGAGCCATAATCTTTCTGAGTAGCACAGAGGGATCTGTTTTGAGCAGCAGAGCATCTACACTACAGCAGAGTGCTGCCTGTAATACAAGTGAGGATAACACAGGGCAGGAGATTAATATTCTGCATCACACTGGGCTCTGTTATTTTTATCCTGCTGTTTCCTTCACTCACCATCTCATGACTCACACCCTCCCCACACTGGAATTTCTGCCTCAATCTCATGGCTCACTGGTGTCTTAGGGAAGCCGTGGAGAGCTGTCTGGAGAACATCACTACTGCCTGAGCTCCAGGTCACTCTGGAGAACACAGAGAGGCAGCAGAATTTACTGGTTTATCACACACCTCCTCTGGCTGTTGCAAACTGTCTTCAGCACTTGCAAGGGTTGCAGTTCTTCCTTGTTTTTACAGCCTTAGTGACATGTCTGGATGCAAGTCCCAGTTCCAGACATTCTCATGGATAGCTGGCACTGCACCAGCCTTTAGTAAAAGTACAGGGCTCAACCTGTGAGGGGGGAAAGGGCTCTTGAGAGATAGGTGAATGTAATTCAAGATGAGTAAAAGAGCTGCTCCTTACATGTTTCTTGGTTATCACCTCAGGGATATGGTCCTCGATGCCACACTAGCAGGGTTGATGCTTCCTGAGGCAAAACCACAATTCCCTGATGTGGGATGGGAAGACCAGGTCACAGGAGGAACTGGATGTTGAAATCCTTACTAGTTGCACATACAGCTATGGTGATCCCAAATGCAGAATATCAAAACCCCAGTGCAGTCTCCTGCTGTAGAATCCTGCACTCTCATTTCCCAGGGGATTCAGTTCCCCAAGTGCCTGGACTCTGGCTTCTCTTTAAATCCAGAAGTAACACGGAGTTTGCCAGTTAGGAACCTAAATTCTACCTCCTCCCAGAAATGAGGCTGATCAGAGGAAGCATAATTATTTTTTCTTACCTCCTCATGGAGTGATGACAGCCCCTGCTCAAGAATCCAAATTCCCTCCTTTCCCTCTATCTGAACTTCCATCTATATCTTCCTGAGGGCATTTCCAAACCAGTTGGAAGCCAACAGCACAGAAGGTTCGCTCTTTATGTGAACAAGCAAATATTCTCTAGGCTAGAGGGAGTACTTCAAGCAGCAATTGGACACCATATCATTCTTCAAAAAAAATATTCATACTAGAAAATAACAGACAAATCTCACTCTACATGTTTCCTCCTCTTTTGCCCTGCCACTTTCAAAAAATGAGCTTTATTGAAAGATGCCAAAGAAGCCTTGTCCACAGAATATTTACAAAAAAAAGGCATTTATCTGGGGAAAGGGGAATAAAATCCTAACTTAGCTGTGGAAATTCTACTCAGTAGCAAGATTCCCTTCACACAGGTACTGAAGCAATGGGCTCTCCAGTACCTTTGAGTGTATCTAGCCAAAGTAATGCCCTTTTTTGCTGAGAAGGTAGGTAGGTGTCAGCCTGGTTCTAGAGTCAGTTTAGCAGAAGGATCACTTGTGATCCATAGTGTTATTCCAGCTTTCCCAGGAAAAGGTAGCAAAGGATGTCAAAGAGCCCTTTCTCACAAGCTTTTAGATCCCCTGGCCTCCTGCTTTTTCTTTTTGCTCCCATCTGGCTCTCCAGGTAACACTGGAAAACATAAAGCATGTTTTATTTCTGTGGATGTTTTGTTGTCCAGATTTGTCCTGGGGCAAACTTCCTACCCCCTCACATCAACTCAAGTCCTTCTCGTGGACTGTTGATGATGACTCAGAACAGTCAATGAGCCTTTTGTTGGTGACACAGCCTCATCCAGCAGAGACTTTGTTGCTCAGAACCCAAACACCAGCTCAAGTCACCCATCACATGCCCTGCCCTCTCCTCTTGTCCCTCCCCAGCATAACTGGCTGCCTGGAGGGGGACAGATGAGCATGATGGAGCAGGAAGGCTGACAGCTTGCACACCCACACCACATCCAAATGCCAGGTCTCCCCAGAATCCAAAGGGCAGAAGCTTCCCTCAGTCCACCCTCAGTCTAGAAATGTGACCGCAACACAACAGTCATGCCCTTCCTCTCAGACAATTCTTCCAGCTGGAGGATGATCAATGTGAGAGCCCCAGGAGAGGCTGAGGAGGATGTGATTACTGACCTGAAATGAAGCCTGTGCACACTGCAGGAGACGCTTCCACTAAAATCTCTTCCACTGGAACACTGGAATCAGCACCTCAGGACAACAAATGCTGCTTCAGTTTGAAAGATGATTACCAAAAAAAAAAAAAAGCTAAAGGGAATTGGAGCAGCCAGAGAAAATCTTGTTAATGCAGCAGTGTCCTGCTGTGAGCTTTCTGTTTAACAGAGAGGCTCCTTGGTACTAAAGTTTTTGCTGTCAAACACCTGTCAGCAGTCCTTTAAAGTAAGGTTTGTCCTGAGCTGCAACCTCCTGTCTTGAACCTGTCTTTGTCTGCAGCTGTTCTAAGCAGACTCTATGAATCCAGAGGAACCCTTTCCATATCTTACTTCTCAGCTCTGTCTTATCACCTGAGGTGCACAGAAGGTCAGGAAAGGACGTAAAAATATCTCAAAGAGGATGTCAAGAGGACGGTGCCAGGCTCTCTTCAGTGGTGCTCAATGAGAGGACAGGGAGCAATGGCCATAAACTAAACACAAGTTCCAACTCAGCAGAAGAAAGAATTTCTTTCCACTGAGGGTGGCAGAGCACTGGAACAGCTGCCCAGGAAGGGCCTGGAGTTCC